CCGCTCAGACCCGACCAAGTAAACACAGAGACTTATATCGGTTACAAACTGTATGGCCGTGGCAGGCTTCTTGCTAACTGTTCTTACAGCTTAAATTAATCCATTTCCATTAATCTATACCTTGCCATGTGGCTCGTGGCTTACCGGCATCTTCACATGCTGTTTGTCGTTGTGGCGGCTGGCAGTGTCTCTCTGACTCAGCCTTCCACTTCCCAGCTTTATTCTCTTCCTTGTCCTGCCTATACTTCCTGCCTAGCCAATGGCCAATCAGTGTTTTATTTATTGACCAATCAGCAACACATTTGCCATACAGAACATCCCACAGCAGAGCCATCTCTCTTCTCCCAGATCTTTTTAAGTATTACCACTAATCTCATTAGAAAAACCTAAATATTGGGAAGCATCAAATTCATGGTGGACAGATAGAATTGTTTCAGAATTCTACTTGGGGGAAAGAGTGTTAGGTATTAAACCTAGAACCATGTGCATACTGAACCTACCACTGAGCTCCATCTCCAGCCCCGAAACCATATGTATGTATTTTCTTTTTGGTAACTGAAATGTTATCATAGACAACACTGACTACCAGTTGCTTTCCTGAAGGGACCGGCTTACTTTATTTTTAACACAATGTTTACTGTCAGGCATGGTGTCACCCACCTATAATTCCAGCACTCAGGAGGTAGAAGCAGGATGATCAGGAATTCAAGGGCAGCCTTAACTACATATGAGTCTGGGAGTAGCCTGAGCTGCATGGGACTCTATCTAAAAAAAAAAAAAACCAAACAAACAAACAAGAGGTAAAGTCTGCTAGATATCTAGTCAAGATTAGTGTAATTTGTTAAGAGATTTTTCCTAATAAAAATATTTCAGCTAGAGAGATGGCTCCGTGGTTAAGAGCACTGTCTGATCTTCCAAAGGACCCAGGTTCAATTCCCAGCATCCACATGGCACCTGACAACTGTCAATAACTCTGGTTCCAGGGGATCTGGCACCCTCACACGGACATACATGCAGGCAAAACACCAATGCAGCTATGTTCCATTAAAAAGCAGCTAAAGGATTGTAAGATAGGATGGTTAGGTTAAAGGTGCTTGCCACCAACCCTGACAATCTGAGTTTAATCTCTGGGACTCACATGGTGGAAAGAGAGAACAGATTCTTCAAGATGCCCTCTGACCGTCACATGTACACTGTAGCATGTGCACAACCCCCCACACACACACACACACAGAGATATGATTGCATGTGCACTTATACATAGAATAAATAAGTGAAGTGTAATGAAAACAGTATGTAGTTGAGCTTGCAACTCAATCTCATAGGCATTCACTTTCTTCATTATATACCAGAGGAGAAACACTCCATTCATACTCTCCATTTTGTCATTTAGTTTTAAAAAGTCATGTCTAAAAGGTCAAGATTTAAAAATTAAGCAGTTATTTTTGGCAAGGGCTTCTTTTGGTTTTTTGTTTGTTTTTATTGTTGTTTATTTTGAAACAGGGTCTCTCTAGGCTGGCCTCAGACTTCCTCAGATCCTCTGCCTCAGCCTGCCAAGTACTGGAATTACTGGGGGGATGGAGGAGGGGGTTGCTATTGTGCCTGGTTAAGAACATTCTTAAGTAAAACTGGCTTTAAAAAGAAAACCATAAACTTGTAAGCGATGAAAGATGTGGTGACTTCTAGTGAAATTTGGTGCCACTGTCTTGATACATCATCCTTAGGGGCCAGTGATATTTTCTTTTGTGTCATAAGTGCAAAGTCAACACAGTACAAAAGACAATTCATGTTTTCATATTGTTATGAAAATAATTTTAAGGAAATGGCTTTTACTCTGTGGACCCTGTACATGTCACAAGGACCTTTGGGATCTAGGAACCACACTTGAGAACCGTTGCTTTGAAGGTGTCTTCCTTTGTTTTGAGATGTCTTTCTAGGGGGCTTTCGTGACTTATGGGTGTTGCTCTGCTGCTTTTCCTTTTTCTCTCATAATGTTCTATACTGAAAAGTCCACTGTTACTATTTGTTTATTTGTTTGTTTGTTTCTGTGGCTCTTGTTTAAATGCAGGCCAGTTTCCTGTGCTTCTGGGAGAAAGGTGGGTCAGAACAGTTTTCTAAGCTCGAGGATTTGGAGCTCCCTCTTCTGTTGTGTTCAGAAAGGACAGGAAACCATGGCCATAGTGCCACCCTCCCCTGGTTGGCCCTCTCTGTCGGCTTCTCTCCCAGACCTGTGTCTGCACCTTCACATTCCTTTGCAGCTATCATCTCTGTTGTATTCTATCTAGATTCTGCTTATACCAGTTTCTCCAAAATACAGCTGTAGTCTTGAGTGAAATCTTCAGCTTATGACTTTTAAAAGTTTATGAGGGCTAGGCATGGTGGTGCACACCTTTAATCTCAGCACTCAGGAGGCAGAGGCAGATGGATTTCTGAGTTTGAAGCCAGCCTGAACTATATAGAGAATTCCAGGCCAGCCAGGGCTATTTAGTGAGATCCTGCCTCAACACAAAAACAAACAAACAAAAAATTTCTGAGACCCAAACTGCTCCAGCACTTTAAATTTGTATTTCAGTTGAGTTCTCTGGCATTTACCTACAAGTTGGATCTTGTAGAACCCTCTTCCAGTTCTGGTTGGAATTCTCAGCTTAACCTACCAAATCTGCTAGTGTTTGTTTGGAGAAATTGGAGATTCATTTATTTTTCAGTGCTTTTAAAAGTCTAGTTGGCTTTACTTAATCACAGATACGCGTACATGCACACACAATCATACCCCTCCAATACTGTTTTTGGATTTATTTTATTTTATGTGTATAATTTTTTTGGCTGTACGTTTTTGCTTTGTTTTGTTTTTTTTTTTTTTTCAAGACAGGGTTTCTCTGTGTAGACCTGGCTGTCCCGGAACTAGATTTGTAGACCAAGCTGACCTCAAACTCAGAGATCACCTGCTCTGCCTCCAGAGTGCTGGGAATAAAGATGTGCACTATCACACCCAGCTTGCCTGAATGTTTATAAATATACCATGTACATGCCTGGTGCCTGCAGAGATCAGAAGGGGGCATTGGATCCACTGGAATTGGTGTTACTGATGACTGTGAACCACCATGTGGGTGCTGGATACCGAAGCTTGTCCTTTGGAAGAGCAGCCAGTGCTCTTGCCTTTTTTGTTTGTTTGTTTGGTTGGTTGGTTGGTTGGTTTTTTATTTTTGTTTTTGTTTTTCGAGACAGGGTTTCTCTGTAGCTTTTGGAGCCTGTCCTAGAACTCGCTCTATAGACCAGGCTGGCCTCGAACTCACAGAGAGCCGCCTGGCTCTTCCTCCCCACCCCCCACCCCCCAGTGCTGGGATTAAAGGCATGTGCCACCACTGCCCGGCTTGCAGCCAGTGCTCTTAACTGCTGAGCCATCTTTCTAATAACCTCCTCAATGTCTTGAAGATTTTCCATGTAAAATTCTGAAGAAAACACCTAGTTCTTCTTGGTTATTATATAAAACATTAACTGATACTTTGCTATCACTCATGAGCCATGTGCATTTTGAGGACAGGGTACTGGGCAAATGCTGTGTCACTGAGCTGTATTCCCCACGCTCATGGGTACTGTTCTAAGGTTTAGGTATACATTAACTTAATTATTACATCTTATGAGTTAAGCACTATTATTTCCTTCAGTTTACAAATAAAAAACTGGTGCACTGGGAAGTTGAGTAACAAGTGCATGATCACAGATACTCTATCTCATTCTTTGTGTCAATGAGTGTTATTTAGGAGGCCTGATTCTAGCTTCATCTGAGGAACTGTGACAGTTTCATCTTGCTTGCTTTTATCTTAAAACCTCTCTGAAATTGACATCTTGCTCCATTTAGTATGTATTCTTGCAAAATTCTGAGAATAATTTTTTAAAAAGCTGAACTCTAACAGTACAAAGTTCTTTTCAAATTTTGTTTTGCAAGTGTGGTTGGCTTAGGCCTGTAATCCCAGCGTTACGGAAGCTGATACAGGAAGACTATTGAAAGTTTGAGGACAGCCTGGGACCTAGTAAGACCTAGCCTCAAAATAAAACTAAACTAAGCAGACCAAAGCATCAAAAATAGAAATAAAGCACTACATTTTGTTTTGAGAACTTTTAGGGACTTGCACTACATCTTCCAGGTAATTGGGGAATCCATTGGTATTTTCTGGTATTATTTTGTTTTGTTTTGGTTTGGTTTTTGGTTTTTCGAGACAGAGTTTCTCTGTGTAACAATCCTGGCTGTCCTGGAACTCACTTTGTAGACCAGACTGACCTTGAACTCACAACCCTGCCTCTGCCTGTCTCTGCCTCCCAAGTGCTGGGATTAAGTGCGCCACCACCACCGGGCAACACTGTAGTTTCTTATCACAGTATTTAACTGTATCGCTATTTTATTTTTTATTTTTATTATTATTATTTTTTTGTTTGTTTTTCGAGACGGGGTTTCTCTGTGTAGTTTTGGTGCCTGTCCTGGATCTCGGTCTGTAGACCAGGCTGGCCTCAAACTCACAAAGATCCACCTGGCTCTGCCTCCCGGTGCTGGGATTAAAGGCGGGCGCCACTGCCACCTGGCTTGTATTGCTATTTTTTTTTTTTTTTTTTTTTTTGGTTTTTCGAGACAGGGTTTCTCTGTGTAGCTTTGCGCCTTTCCTGGATCTCGCGCTGTAGACCAGGCTGGCCTCGAACTCACAGAGATCCGCCTGCCTCTGCCTCCCGAGTGCTGGGATTAAAGGCGTGCGCCACCACCGCCCGGCTGTATTGCTATTTTTTTTAAAGAGCTGATTTTTAAAGTTTTACCTAGAGACAATTGTTATTTTTCCAAATGGACAGGTATCATGTTCCAACAGGCATGCAAGGCAAAAGATCTGATCTTCTGAGCTGTGGGTGAGAGACATTTCACAGATTCATATGTGAGGAAGGAGAGAGCTTGTTTTCACTGACTGCTGTTTATGCAGTTAGAGATCGTAACATATATCCTGATGATCTCTTTTCAGAGCTGGTGGAGTCTCTTTCATTGCAGGGATCTTATGCTGGAAAAATCCATTCTATTGGTGATGCCTTCAGAAATTTCAAAAATCTCCGATCCTTAGATTTATCAAGGAATTTGATCACTAGCCTAAAGGTGGGTTCCATATTCCATGATCAGCCAGGTCAACTCAATTTATAGTCTCATGAGAAGAAATAAGAGATGGAAAATTTCAGCCTGGGAAGTATAGGATCTTCTTTTTAAATGTTCCCCAACTACATTTTGTTACTTTCTATAAAATTCTTTCACTTTTATGCTTAAATTTTTTCTTATGAAATATTAGGTAAAATTTATTTTGTTCTCAGGGAAAACTTTATGAAACTTGTGTTGCCAAGGGCAATAGTACACATCTCAATGCGTGTAAAATTAAAAAAAACAAAACCATTACAGTTCTGACTTGCAAACATACAGATTCTTAGTCTCCATTCTGAGAGGAAGACTTAGGACATACCCAGGAGATTTGGGTAATGATGGTGCACAATACACATGGAAAACACTTGCCTTTGTTGTCACTGTGAATTTTTTTCTAGGACGATCAGGAAATGGTGATCTCAATAAAAACAAAAACAAAGTGTCCAGGTCAGGGGAGCAGAGGGCAGTACAAGTAGGAAGAAGTGCTCAGCTGGTGAAGTGCATGCTGGGCAAGCATGAGGTTTTTATTCTAGATCTCAGCACCCAGAAAAGGTCAAGCTCTGGGGAAGCAAAGATAGGATGACCCCTGGAGCTTGCTGGCCAGCCAATCAGTGAACTCCAGGTTCAATGACAGACTCTGTCAAAAAACAAAATGGTACCAGGTATAGTGGCACACTCCTTTAATCCTGGCACTTTGGAGGTAGAGGCAGGAAGATCTCTGTGAATTTGAGGCCTATATAGTATGACCCAGAACAGAGTTCCAGGAGCTAGACAGTGAGACTGCCTCAAAAACAAACAATAACAAAACTAAGGTAGTGAGCAATTTGAGGAAGACTATTAAATCATCTTTTATACACACACACACACACACACACACACACACACACACACACACACACACACGAGAGAGAGACAGACAGACAGACAGAGACAGAGAGACAGAGACAGACTGACTGACAGACAGACAGACAGACTGACAGATTTGAGCAGTGTTTATAAGGATCAGCAGTGTGCAGTTGCCTGATGTACTTTTTTTCTTTCAGGGCATCCAGTATTTGTGTTCACTCCAGGATCTGAACTTATATTACAACAACATTCCTTCATTAGTGGAGGTGTCCCGACTTCAGCCCTTGCCCTTCCTCAAAGAACTAGATTTGAGACTCAATCCTGTTGTAAGGAAAGATACAGATTACAGGCTTTTCGCCGTGTATACGCTGCAAACTCTGGAAAAACTAGGTAAGAGCCTCCCTCCTCTTCCATTCCTTCCAGAATTTTACTGAAGTAAGCTGCCCCTTAACCTTTTGGATGTTGGACCAAAGTGTGCACTGGCAGGAGACATTTGTTTATCAGTCAGTATTTATGTAATTCTTTGCGTTGGCAGGATGTATGACAAGTACTTTTATTGTTTATTGAGTGACCATCTATGATTTTATCAGTTACTTCCAGCTTTAGTTTTCTTCGGCTGATGGTTTCTCCACTACTTCCTCCTCACCATAACATTTCTAAGTTGAGACTTATTTTTCCAGGTGCCCAGTTTTATCAACAATAATAGTAACATAAGTCCAATGCAATTCATTAGGAACTAGTTTACAAGGAACAAAAAATATCCCTTAGAATGAACTAGTTTGAATTTCCTCATAATTTCATTGTTTATTATATATTTCCTATTGATAGAAAATGTAATTTCAAATAGCCCTGGAAAAGTTATTGTTGGGAAACTAAGTTAAAAATTTTTCAGAAAAATGTGACATTCAGCCTTAATATGAGATTGTTTGCTGCCCAAGCTTTGCTTTCCTGAAGGAGTAGTTGACCTGGTTGGCAATTGTTGCTATGACATCTGAGTTACTGCTTGCTCTAGTGACAACATAATGGAATTGTGTTGTAGCCTGTCTCTAATGCATGAAGATGAGTCTGGCCCTCAGTTTTTCCTCTGTAAATATGGTTTTCTGACCTACTACCACTGACTCTAAAAAAGAAAAATGCTCAGACCATGGTTTTTGCCTCCAGATGACCGAACTGTGCGTGATAGCGAGAGGAAAGCTGCCAAGCTGCATTTCAGTCAGTTGGGCAACAGTGAAAATTTTCTTTTAGAGGTGGAAAAAAGGTAAGAAAAAAAAATCTCTAATTTTTTTCTTTAGTTTTGTTGAAGGGAATTTCTAGTTTACTTTCCTTATTTCCCAGCAGAATTCTCAGCTCTGGAATAAAATTGTCTATTTACAAATAGGTCCATAGGGAGGAGAATCAAGCCCTCTTTGTTCCTGAACTGTAGACTTTCCTTTGGATGCAATTGTTGTAAATTCCATCATTCTCACAACGTATCGACAGGGACACTAGAAGATTTTTTATTCCATAAATTCTTACCTACCCTCTCTTGGCAGAATTATCATCAGTGCACGGTCATTTCTCATTGAACTAGAATTTCATTACCATAGGCAAGACTTAGAGTTTTGATGTTTTGGCAAATTTCTTTTCTTTTTTTTTCTTTCATTCTTTTTTGTTTTGTTTTGTTTTTGATACAGGGTTTCTCTGTGTAGTTTTGGTGCCTGTCCTGGAACTTGCTCTGTAGACCAGGCTGGCCTCAAACTCACAGGGATCCACCTGGCTCTGCCTCCTGAGTGCTGGGATTAAAGGTGTGCGCCACAGCCACCCAGCCAGCAAATTTCTCACTAAACAAAACCTCTACAAACAAAGAGTAAAGAGACCTTGAGGCTGTCAAGTATCTGAATGGTAGAGTTTTCCATTTCTTGTTATAAAATCCTACTAAAGGAAGATAAATCTTCTATACTAAACTCTTGCTGTTAAACGTTAGCCTTCTTAGGGCAGGTGAGATAGCTTAGTGGTTAAAGGTACTTGCTTCCAAGCCTGGCAACCTGAGTTCAGTGCCTGGGACCACATGGTAGAAGGGAAGGGCTGGTTCCACAAGTTGTCTTCTGACTTCCATACAGACGCTGTGGCACGTGCATGAACACACAGACCACACTCAGAAATGAGTGAATGTAATTTGAAATCTTTTAATTGACTTTATTAGTTTTTTTAATTAGATAGAAATTCCCCACAATGTAAATAATTCAAAAAAGTCAAAGTTACTCTATATTTTGTTATTGAGAGTTAACTATTTATAATACTTTTCTGTGTATTCTAAATACACATGAGTGTATTTATTAATCTATTCCTTTGGTCTAATGTATTATTCACCACCCAAAAATAAATGCTAGTTCTGTTTCTTTGGGACTGGGGAGGTGGTTCACTCAAGAAAAAGTGCCTGCTGTCCAAGCATGAGGACATTAGAGTCCCAGAGTCCACATTAACAATAACAACAAAAACAATGAAAAATAAAAGCAAAAACAGGCATAGTGGCACATGTCTGTAACCCCAGTGCTGGAGAGGCAAAGACAAAATGATCTGGGGGCTCACTGGCTGGCCAGCCCAGCCAAATAGACGTGCTCCAGGTTCCATGGAAGACTAAGTCTAAAAAAACATTAGATGGAGTGCAATCAAGGAAGATACCTGACATCAGTTTCTGGCCTCCACCAATACACACCCACCTGAACACACACACACACAATAAATACCCTAATATTATTAGATATATGTTTATGTTACATGTACATGTGTGATTTGTGTGTGTAATATGTGTATGTGTATGTATCTGACTTTATAATAATTTGCTTCCTATATATATGGTATTTAATAAGACATCATGAACATATCTCCACATTATGTTTCTATTCTTCATCATAATAAGTCTATTTACCCTTAGTTTTCTTTTGTAGTATTGAGGATTAAATTCAGGTCCTTTGGTATCTTAGGCAAGTCTTCTACCACCGAACTATTTCCACAGCCCCTATTGTTTACCTACTTATTTTCTTCCCCCTCTCTAGAATATAAACTCATGAGAATAGGACCTTGTTTATTGTAGTATCTTTAGTGCCTATAGCAATGCCTGGTATATAGAAGTTGCTAAAAAAAATAATTTGTCAAATGATGAAAACTGGGGCTGATCTGATGGCTCACTGGGTCTAAAGGTGCTTGCTATTCAAGTCTGGTGACCCAAGTTTGATCTCTGGAACTTCTATAAAGATGGGAGGAGAGAAGTAGCTCCATAAAATTGTTTTTTAACCTCTATATACACACAGTAGCATACCTGCCTTCGAATATACATTGTGCACACACACACACACATAATAGTAATAATAGCAACAATGATAATAATAATAATAAAATAATGAATAAGTTAGCTGGGCAGCAGTGGCACATGTCTTTAATCCCAGCACTCGGGAGGCAGAGCCAGGTGGATCTTTGTGAGTTCGAGGCCAACCTGGTCTACAGAATGAGATCCAGGACTGGCACCAAAACTACACAGAAAAACCCTGTCTCAAAAAAACAAAAAAACCAATAATAATAATAATAAAATAAGTAAAACCAATATCTATTGTTCTAACATCCTCTTTTCCAAGCAATTTTTTTTGTTTGTTTGGGTTTTTTTTTGTTGTTGTTGTTGTTTTTTTTTGAGACAGGGTTTCTCTGTGAAACACTTCTGGCTGTCCTGGATCTCGCTCTGTAGACCAGGCGGGCCTCAAACTCACTGAGATCTGCCTGCCTCTGCCTCCCGAGTGCTGGGATTAAAGGTGTGTGTCACCACTACCCAGCAATATTAGCTATCTTTGTTCTGATCTTTGTTTTATGGTATAACCTTCAGAAAAGATCCTTAATTTTCTATTTTTCCCTTATTTTCCTTTTTTTTTTTTTTTTTTTTTTTTTTGGTTTTTTGAGACAGGATTTCTCTGTGTAGCTTTGCGCCTTTCCTGGAACTCACTTGGTAGCCCAGGCTGGCCTCGAACTCACAGAGATCCGCCTGGCTCTGCCTCCCGAGTGCTGGGATTAAAGGCGTGCGCCACCACCGCCCAGCTATTTTCCTATTTTTAAATGTAATGTTTATTGGGGTCAATTTACACAGAATAATATTTACCTTACTGTAGACATAAATAGAATCTTTCTTTTAAAATATTTATATATATATATGTAAAATACATGTATGCAGCAAACCAAATCCTATTTTAAATATATTGTAATTTTTTTACTGTAATAAGTTAGAGGTAAACCAGTATCTACTGAGTGAAATTTCTATTTAGGCAAAGAATGCCATCATTAATCTGTTAAAGTTACCTTCAAGTGACTGCTAAACCAGAGGTTAAAATGTTCTTCTATGTCCAGTATTACAGTATCTTATAAGGTCCCCGGTATTAGGTAGTTCTTAGACTCTGAGTCCCAGTTTACCTACCTATAAAAGGGGGATAATAGTAAAGGGGCTTTTTAAAAATTATTTTAATGTTTATTTTTACTTTGTGTACATTGGTGGTTTGCCTGCATGTATGTCTGTTTGAGGGTGCCAGATCCCCAGGAACTGGAGTTACAAACAGTTGTGAACTGCCATGTGGTTGCTGGGAATTGAACCTGGGTCCTCTGGAAGAGCAGCTAGTGCTCTTAACTGTCGAACCATCTCTCCAGCCCTATAGAGGGGCTTTTATGATTAAATAAGATGATGAGTATCAAGAGCCTGCACTCAGGCTGTATTTCCTGTGCTTCCCAAGTAACTACCTCAAGTACAAACACTTTCCTCTTTTATCTGTTTTTCTCCAGCTACAGTAGCCTCTACTATAATTTGTGCTAGCAGGACCTAACTATGCTTATTTTAATTTTAAAAATCATAGTCTCTCAATTCTTTAGACTTAAATTTCAGTTTTTAAAAAAATTCTGAATTTTCTGGCTTTCACACTTAAAAGTTGATGTTCTTTTTTATCATAGTTTTTAGTATAAGTATTCTGACTTTTAAAAAATCATGGCCTCTACTGAGATATCTGTAAAGCATAGTTATATTAATACATCCTAGAGCATATGGGGGAAATCAAGAACTAATATTTTCTAAGCAGCATAAACTGGTGATCTCAGAAGCTTTCTTCTGAGTTTTAAATAAATCCTTCTCCATGATAGCTCTAGGGAGAAGACAATGAAAACCTGTGTGACAGATGAAGGCTCTGCATCAAAAGTCAATCCTGAGGTTGACACCAGGATCGAAACAGGTCAGCATTGTTTCTGTGATCATAAAATAGCCAAGACATCAGCTGTCTTTGCTGTCATAGCCAGTCTGGGCTAGAATTAAGCAAAGTAATTGTGAAAACACAGATTTAAAGCAAGTCCAGTATTTACTGACTGTTTTTTTCTCTCTTTCTCACTGCCAGAAGGACCCTGTGTTATACAGGTGTAACCCAGCACCTTTCAAAGCACAAGCTGTACACTCAGAGAATTCAGTTTCATTTACATCACCTTACATCAGTTGTGACCCTAAAATTACATTACCAATCCCCACAGGCTCCTGGGCATTGATTGTTAAGGTAATTTATTTCCTTAGTCAGAGACTCACCTGTATCCATTGCTGCTCACACGCTGAGCCTCTTAGGCTTCCCAAGCAAGCTCCTTCCCAGCTGCAGAATCTCTTGTGTTTACAATATAGAATTTGACTGCCTTTTCTTGCATAAGCTGAAGTAGACTCCATTAATATCATATTATTCCATTAGCACAGACAAGGATTTATAATATGAGTTAAAATATACAATGAGTTAAAGTCTACAATCTATTGAGAACAGTCTTAGTAGACACAGCCCATTTTCAAAGGGTTTTAGAACTACCATTATTGGTATTCCAGTACAATTAAAGTGGTTATTCCACATTAATGGCCTTCGCTTCCTTTCCAGAAAAGAACTCTAATAACCAGAGATTGGCTGTGTAGTACAGATATTAAAGGTTTCCTGTTGTGCTAACATATATTGCTTCATTGTTCTGACTTTTTAATCTATTCATGTGAACATTTATTAAGTCATTTTCACAGGATTTCATGATAAATTATAAAAAGTAATATATTCCTTTTTCTTTTTCCCTTGATATCTCAGTGCATATAAATGATAGACCTATGGGTTGCTTTGTTTTGCATTAAAAAGTGTTTTTTATATTTCAAATAAATGTAATTTTTAAATAATTTTGGCAGACGCTGAAATGTATGAAGAAAAACATTCTGCTTAGAATCTCATCACAAAAAAGAATCACAATTACTACTTTGGCTAGTTTTTTCTTCTAGGTACACACATTTGTATATCCATTTTCAGATGAGAAAAGTACTTTGAAGCAAAATTTGACTGCCCCCTTATATGAACTGAATTAGAATTAGACTGCACATAATATATTATTCGTGTGTGCAAGAATTAACTCCAAGAGTCAAAATGTCTTTAAGTTTACAGTCTTTCCTGAGAATAAACTGCTGCACTAGACAGTCGGTTTCCAAAAGTTCTTTGAGGCACCATCTGCTGCCTAATTTTTTAATATAAAATTTAGTTTGCTGGTTTGAGACATTAAAGAGCTTTGTTCCCCACTGCCAATTGTGTTTGTGCTAGATCCTTGGGGAGGATGGCCAGTAAGCTCTGTTGGTAATGCAGTATGATTAATGTAGTTATGCCATGTTAATGGGCATGCCTCAGCTTTCCTGCAGGACAGCTTCCACCTGCTCAGTTGTTCAACGCAGTGCTTTTGAATAGGCAGGGAACTTTCTCTGTCTTGGATTCTTGTCCTGTTCACACCCTCAAAACAAGCACACTCAGGCTATATCTTTAGCCTCCCTGTTCTTTCTTGTCCCTTTGTCCTTGTTGATATCACCCATTTTTTGTTTTGTTTTGTTTTTCGAGACAGGGTTTCTCTGTGTAGCCTTGACTGTCCTGGAATTCACTCTTTAGACCAGGCTGGCCTCAAACTCACAGAAATCCGCCTGCCTCTGCCTCCTGAGTGCTGGGATTAAAGGTGTGCGCCACCATTCCCACTATCCCTTGCCACCTTCTAATTTTCTTATTTATATTTTATGTATGAGTGCTCTGCATGTATACTTGCACACCAGAACAGAGGACATCAGATCCCACTATAAATGGTTGTGAGCTACCATGTGGTTACTGGGAATTGAACTCAGGACCTCTAGAAGAGCAGCCATCGCTCTTAATCACTGAGCCATCTCTCCAGCCACAAATTTTTTTCTTTTTTTTCTTTTTATTATTAAGAAATTTTCTATTCATTTTACATACCAACCACAGATCCCCCTCTCCTCCCTCCTCCCGTCCCCCAGCCTCCCCCACCCCACCCCCCATTGCCACATCCTCCAAAGCAAGGTCTCCCATGGGGAGCCTGGTACATTCAGTTGAGGTAGGTCCAAGCCCCTCCCCCCTGCACCAAGGCTGCACAAGGTGTCCTACCATAGGCACTGGGCTCCAAAAAGCCCGCTCATGCACAAGGGATGGATCCCAATCCCACTGCCTGGGGGACCCCTCAACAGTTCAACTGTCTTGCCCATCTAGAGGACCTAGTCTGGTCCCATGGGGGCTCCACAGCTATTGGTCCACAGTTCATGAGTTTCCACCAGTTTGACTGGCTGTCTCCGTACATTTTCCCATAATGATCTCGATGTCCCTTGCTCATAGAATCCCTCCTCTCTCTCATCGATTGGATTCCTGGAGCTAGGCCTGGCACCCGGCCATGGATCTCTGCATCCACTTCCATCAGTCACTGGATGAAGGCTCTATGATGACAGTTAGGGTATTCACTCATCTGATTACCGGAGTAGGCCAGTTTAGGCACCCCCTCAACTATTGCTAGTAGTCTAAGGTGGGGTCATCTTTGTGGATTCCTGGGAACTTCCCTAGCACCCTGTTTCTCCCTGTTCCCATGATGTTTTCATTTATCATGGTATCTCTTTCCTTGCTCTCCCACTGTCCCTGTTCCAGCTTGAACCTCCCATTCCCTTATGTTCTCATCCCCATCCCTTGCCCTCCATTACCCCATCACCTCCAGTTAGCTCATGTAGATCTCATCTATTTCTCCTTTGCTGGGCTATCTATGTGTCCCTCTTAGGGTCCTCCTTGTTAGCTAGCTTCTCTGGAGCTGTGGGTTGTAGTCTGGTTATCCTTTGCTTTACATCTAGTATCCACTTATGAGTGAGTACATACCATGTTTGTCCTTCTGAGTCTGGGTTACCTCACTAAGGATGATATTTTCTAGTTCCATCTATTTGCCTGCAAATTTCATGATATCATTGTTTTTTACTACTGAGTAGTACTCCATTGTGTATATGGGCCACATTTTCTTTATCCATTCTTCAGTTGAGGGGCATCTACGTTGTTTCCAGGTTCTGGCTATTATGAATAATACTGCTATGAACATAGCTGATCATGTGTCCTTGTGGTATGATTGAGCATTCCTTGGGTATATACCCAAGAGTGGTATAGCTGAGTCTTGAGGTAGATTGATTTCCAATTTTCTGAGAAACAGCCCCCACATTTTAATTTATAAAGTAAATATATTTGTTACTTGTTTTCTACCTTCTCATTTATTAAAAATATTAGTCTAGCTTGAGAGCTGTACCAGTGTCTCACCAGCCACTCATCTCTGTTAACTAACTAGAATCATCTCATTCTAATGTTCCAGCCCCTCAAGCTAAATGTCCCCCAGAGCAGACAAAGCCTAAAGAGCTCTTTGTGTTTCATGGGAATCATCCCAACTCTGCTGTGATCCTGGCTCGGAATCACATGGGTGTTGTCTAGTTTTCTTTCTGTTGCTATGATAAACACCGCTACCAAGAGCAACTTAAGAGAGGAAAGGATGTATTTCCTTACAGTTCCCAATCACAGTCCATCACTGAAGGAAGCCAAGGCAGGAAATCAGTCAGTGAAGCAGGGCAGAAACCTGGAGGCAGATACTGAAGCAGTGACCATGGAGGAACACTGCTTACTGGCTTGCTCCCAATGGCTTGCTCAGCTTGCTTTTTTAATACAACCTAGGACCATCTTTCCAGAGGTAACAATGCCACAATGGCTTAGGACCACCCACATCAATCATTAGTCAAGACAATGTCTCATAGATTGGCTCACAGGCCAATCTGATGGAGTCAGTTTCTTGGTTGAGGTTCCCTCTTCCCAGATGATTCTAGCTTGTGTCAGGTTGATAAAAAAAAAAAAAAAAAAAAAAAAAAAAAAAAAAAAAAAAAAAAAAAAAAACTAGCCGGGCGGTGGTGGCGCACGCCTTTAATCCCAGCACTCAGGAGGCAGAGCCAGGCGGATCTCTGTGAGTTCGAGGCCAGCCTGGTCTCCAAAGCGAGTTCCAGGAAAGGCGCAAAGCTACACAGAGAAACCCTGTCTCGAAAAACCAAAAAAAAAAACAAAAACAAAAAAACAAAAAACTACCCAGCACCAGGGTTTGATGCTGCTGATCCTCCAAGTTTATATCCTTCAGTGTAATTCTGAGCCCTCCTTTCCCTTCCTTCCTTCCTTCCTTCCTTCCTTCCTTCCTTCCTTCCTTCCTTCCTTCCTTTTTCTTTCTTTCTTTCTTTCTTTCTTTCTTTCTTTCTTTCTTTCTTTCTTTCTTTCTTTCTTTCTTTCTTTCTTTCTTTTTTCAAGACAGGGTTTCACTGTGTAGTCCTGGCTATCCTGGAACTTGCTCTGTAGACTAGGCTGGCCTCAATTGAGAGATCTGCCTGCCTCTGAGTCCAGTTCTGGGATGAAAGGCGTGTGCCACCACCGTCTGGCCTTTCCATTTCGTAATAGTCTCTGTTTAACAGGTCTCTTAATACTCACTGAGTTCACACTCTGGCCCAGGTACTGTCTGTGATCTCCTCTAATCCTCACACCTTAAAGTGGGTTTGACAGGTGAAGAAACTGAAACCCAAACAGATGAAATAACCTGCCCTACTTATACAATAAGTGGCAGAATGTGGGTGCCAAGTATGGTCTATATATCATCAAAGTTCTTCCTGCAGCTTTTTTTCTCATTTATTTTGTACTTTGATGCCAGATTAATTCTCTTAAAACACAGCTGAGATAATTAATTATGCACTCCTGCTTGAAGATTTGATGGCTCCCACCCAACTATTACATTAATTTTAAATTCCTTAAGCTGGTATACAACGTTCCCCTGAACTTGGGCCTCGACTTATTTCTTCAGCCTACCCTGAAGCCTTATCTCCTACTTCTCCACTACAGAGTACAGCTCTCCA